GTGAAGCAGTTTCACTGGAAGGTTAGTACAGCACAGCCAGAGTGATTTGCATTGGAGAGGGAAGGTTTAGGTGCTAATGCTTTGCGGCTAATACTGCTGCGTGCTTGTTAGTTGTTGAAAGATGTGTGGCTTGAGAGGGGAAGACGTTGAGTATTTGGGTCTGGAAGAGTGGCCCTTGAGACTGGCTACAATGGATATTGTCCACTTGGGAGGTTGGTCCTACAGCAAGGAGCAGAATCTAAGAGTAAAGGAGATTCAAACACTATGGACTCAGATAGTAGCAATGTGATGACCACCTGCAAAAGCAATGTTGGGATGAAAAAATAACAAGCTTAAGAGAAAACTGCTGGTAGTCTCCAGCATGAAAAAGAAAACTGTTCGTTTTAGATAGAGAATGAGCTACCTCCAGATGTTAGAATGTGGTATTGCTGAAGAATCTGCCTCCCTTGAGAGCCTGTCACAGGTCTTTATGCCAAGACAGTTGATGAGCTGACCCCCATTGACACTGATGCTCCAGAAATGGCAGCAGTCTGTGGATGACCTGTCTAAGTGAACTGAAAGATGAATAGGTTTTGCCTGCCTGTCTCCAGAATTGGCTAGTGTTCAGATTGATGTTCCTGAGTGGAGGACACAAAAACATAATTTCCAAACCTGCTAAGGCTTTCTTCTCTAGCTCATTAGGCGATTCCCTGCCTTGTGACTGCACTCCGGTCTCACTGTCCATGATGATGCAGTACCAGACTGCCCTGCCAGCATCAAACTTCTCTTTGTCAGCATTATAGAACCATTAGAAATGAGACATTGCCTCTGGTGTGGGCCCTTTCTTTCACATGGTAGGGCCCCACAAAGAACAAAAACAGCGTGTGATATTCTCACAATTGACGCTGGGACCACTCTGGAGTGACCTTGTAAAGTTTGCCAGTGCCAGACAATTGAGCTATGTTCACTCCTTTTACAGTTCACTCTGCTGACCTGTAAGAAAATTGATATGTGAGGTACTCAGTATGGCAAAATAGAGATGATCTTGAAGTGCTTATGACTCTACAGCCAGATTTTCCAGACAACCACATGGCTGCTGATTTCCACTGTGATCTCCATCCAGCCATACGTGTTTAGGTGGGGAGATCTTATCCTTCTGTGCCTGGTGAAGAGAGCCTACTGCCAATTTTAAAGTAGCCAAGAAAAGAGCATCAAAGTCATCATCACTGAACCATAAAGCCACTGGTGGTCATCTTCTACCAACTGACCAGTAACTTATGCTCTCAGGTGCTCACTCAATCTGCCTTTCTGATTTCTTGGCCTTCTCTAGTGGTAGAACTGCAGTGGTGGCTGGAGGTCTTGATAGGCGGAGTAGCTGAGTGGGGCAGTTCTGATTGGATGGCTAGCTGGAGTGAATGACTTATTTGGTTGTGTACCAATGCTGGCAGCCCTTTAAAGATGGCAGTTACACATACCTCAGAATTAGCTGTTCAATGATTGGTCTCTGCACCCACCAACTGTTAAGTGGGAGGCCACTGTAAGATTTCAGCAATTTGTGGACTAAATCGCAATTGTCGTTGCGACATGTTTCCAGCCCCATCTTCCCCTTTTTTTTGAATCACATAAAATTCCAGTTACTATGTGGATCACTGATTATAATGGTTTGTTGCCTAACATATTTCTGAATGTCTACATCTCATTACTTTGACAGCATTTGACCACCTTAAAAAGAGCTCTTAGTTTTAGCACAAATATGTGTTGGAAACATGTACACCATTTGTGTGAACAAAAGAGATTAGTCAAAAGTATTGTTGTTCTTATCTGTGTACACACCTGACTTGATTGTTGGCCAATTTCATAGATTTCTCTTTCCCCAGTCTATGGCTACTGGCTCCCAAATCCTACGTGAAGGAGCCCAGTCTAAGCCCCAACAGCTGGTGTGACTTTCATGTTCATAATTGCTTCGAATTTTAAAGAGAGACTAATTTGCCTTCTATTCTAAATTTTACAACAAGCATCCTTCAATGTTTTCTTGATAGGTAGTGCATTAATTAATTAAAGAAAATCACATTATGTGTTGGTTCTAACGTGTACTTGAAGGTAACAGGGAAAGGATAGTACAGTCTGATAATACAATTAAAACAAACTTAATAATAAAAAGAAGGAAACAATGTAAAAACATAATTTAATAAAGGATAGAGATTAATAGAGAGGCAGCAGAAAGTTAATGGTTAAGATTTTTTTTTCTTAAATCTGTACTTGCATCCTTTCTATCTCCCTCTTGCAACCAGAAACAATTGCTTGTTGCTCATCATTTTTCGATCTGTATACGTCACATTCTCCTTATGCACCATAATGGAAGCTCTGTGCTGGTGTAACATGACTTCTTGGAAGAAATTAGATAAAAACCTACCTTCCTAAATATGCAGGACTCAATTTTGATCACTCAGAACACACCAACCTATATAGTTAAAATTATCACTATAGGTGAAATCATTCAGGCGTCTAAGCAATGTGGGCTCTGACAAAATATGTGGCAGAATCTGATGACAAGTCCAAAAGATCTCTGTCAATGTTGAGATCATTTTGCCCCAATTTTTTATGCTTTTCATAAGCAAAGTGGCAAGATGCACACTGGGCCAGTTATCAATTGACAGGGATTAATGCTCAACAAATGCCTTGTTGATGGACCATCTCCTCTCATTAACATTCAGACTCCTATCTTTAAAACTCATTAAACATGCTCAATGTCAGGAAAACTCGACATTGAAACCATGGGGTTAATGAGGGAGAGCGGTATATCTACAGTCAAGAGCACCCTGGTTTCACTTGGTATGGCCATCCATATGTCATCATATGGCATCAGGTGTGAAAGGTTGGCAAATGTAGGCATGTGTAGGTGGGTTCGTTGAGAACTTGTGGAAAAGTGTAGTCTGTGGGGTTAACAGGATGGGCTACTAGGATGTTTGGGAGCTCACTGATGCATTCAGGTTGGGCTAGAAGTCACTGGCAGAGAAACACACATTGTCACCTTCCATCATGCTGAAGTGCTCAATGGGGAAGAAAACGGCTGCAAACACCCTCTGAGTGGCCTGGGTAAGTGAACCAACTTGTGAGAACCAACATGTAACAACCAGTCATAGGGCTTTTAAAAGGAAAGAACATTGTTCACGGTTATATACAATGTACAACACACAGGATGCCTACATCCTGGATATCCTTCAGCATTGACCCCCTATGTGTTACACCTCCCTGGCACAGCCACTGCTGGACAAGTCATTGACAGGTACACCTTGATGCAAAGAGGAAACTGAAAAGAAACTGCTAAGCAAGGAGGGACAATGGTATCAGCATGTACCAGTGACATGTACAGCATTAGTCTTTCATGTCAAGATGGTTCAGTAGGCTGTCTGAGCAGACTTTCATCTATTGAGTCTCATCTGCCATCACAAAGTGATGTTGAATAGTGTAACAATATGTTTATGACATATGCAGACTGACAACCTCATGTAAGTTAAAACATATCCATAAGTGAAGAGCAATGTACAAGCCATTGTCAGCCTGCCACAAAAGTGCCCACAGTAAGTTTCTTCTTCTGCCTCTCACTATGTCTTATTGTACCCCTTGGTTTCAAAGCTGAAGTGGAAGGACCCACTGCTTGGCAATGGAGGTAATTGATTCTGGAGGTTTGGTTAAGGGACCGTGGGGGCACTTGTGACAGGGTGGGCTAGGCATGCTGAGGGTCTTCTTGCCTGAACATTCAGGTTCCACAGGAGGGCAGGCATGGTGGAGGTGGAAGCTCTGGCCACCTTTGCAGTGTTCTGAGCGAAAACCATCAAGGTGTATTTCCACCTTAGCTGGTGCCTCCTGACGCTGCCCTAGCCCTGGGATCAAAGTTCCCTTTCCCCCTGTTGCCATGTGACTACACCCACCTGAGAACTAATGGCTGGGACGATGGAGTGCAGGTACAAACACCTGTCCATAGAGGTAGATAGACGATCCCATTATTTGCACCACTGTGTCCCAGGTGCCTGTCTGCTGCCGCTGCTGCTGCCGCCGCCCCGCAATGTGCATTTAGATGAATTCCCCGAATGCTGACACCATAGGGTTAACCAGCCCACATTTGCCAAACGCTAGGCCCAGTGAGCTACATTTGATGTGAATTTGTGGTTGGGCTATATTAACTAAGTAGTCCTCAGTGTACTGAGAATTACACTGACCACCAATTTAAGATCATCAGTTAGGCTGTTAGCATGGTGCATAGTGGACAACCTATATATTAATACACAGGATCCTGTTTCCAGACGGAAGGAACATATACACACACTGCATCTGTTTCAACTGAACAAAATAGGTGATAGCTATTTTCTGGTTCATTCCTCAGGGCAATTCCTTGACCGATCAGAGTCAACTGTTGTGGTTTAAATTTAAACAACGCTTGGCAGTTGTTGCCACTTATTATTCAACTGGTTAATTCTCCAAAGTCATGCCTCTATCAATCAGAGTCTATTAGCCAACCACTAAGCATACTCTTCTCATACAGTATAACGATGATTTTCATCCTTATGTTTGTATTCTTGTGAATTATCCTGATGAGTGCAAGATGAAATGTTTCAACAAAATGTGTTTTCTTTCAAGTAATACTCAGGACCAATATTTATGAGATTATATAACTGACTAGGCCATTTTCTACATTGAAATTTCTCATTTGCTATTAGTTGAAAAAAGTAAATATTACTGAATCTTTGAAACCCTAGAAAAAAAATTGAAAAAGTTCTTAGTTTTGTCACTGTGCATGTTTTCTGATGGCATAAAAGTGCAGATTTCATGCCAAGCATTGATGTGGTCTCAGGTCTTTGCATTTATTGAGCTGCAGAGGTTAGAGCACTGGGCATCTCCAATCACATTTTCAAAGCAAATAACTACTTTTGTGAGTGATATATTTAAGCCCTGAGGTAGGAATGACTAATGTTTTGTTCCTTTTTTTTACCAATACAAAAGAAGTGTTATTTTCTTTCCAGGTATCCTTCTTCTTATTCATTATCTTTGTGGTTTACACCATGCTACCCTTTCGTATGCGAGATGCTGTTGTTGCCAGTGTGCTGACATCATCCTCCCATACTATTGTGCTCAGCGTTTGTCTATCAACCACATCTGTCATAAAGGACCACTTGGTTTGGCAGGTGAGCATTAAGAGATATTAGATGTGAAACCTAAATGCATGCCCATTTTTAAAAATGCAAACAGAAATGGAACATGGTAAACAGCATGTGAAAATACTAATTGTGTTATTTAAATTTGTTATGTTTTCAGTTGTCAACTGTATCTGCTTTGAAACACTATGTTGCCCAGTGTATGCTTTAAACAGACACACAATTCTTGTCAAATTTATTTTTAAAAAACATGACATTAGTATTCTTGTCAGCTGGAATGTATCTATTACAAACATAAGGCAATCAAGATTTTTAAGTTTCTGATGAAAAGCACCAGGTACTTTATATGCAGTTAACAGGTTGTCAATGTTGCTGGTTGTCAATAAAATATTTTTCTTTCAACATCAAGATTGGTTTCAAAGTAAGAATGATGAGCAATGATAATAATACATTTTAAACAAACTTGATAGATTTCGCATGAGATATTGCTTCAGATGTATCTAAACCTGTAATGGGACTGAAGCCAACTCTAACTTAGTGAGGCTTACCAACCTAGCCTTAATTACATTTCATAATAATTCACAGGGGACAATGTCAAAATGATGCCAATGCATGGTAAAAAAAAAGCTTGGCAGTTTGTGGCAGATCTAATGTCAAAATTTTATTCTTTTAATCACCTTTTCAACACTGTAAGTACTTTTTTACTTGTATTTGAGATTATCTTGCTGTAATACATATTATTTCAGTGTGTGAAACAGCCAAATGGTATTGTTTTTTCTGTAATTCTTATTAAACATCTGAGCCTCTGGCATAAACCTCTTCTGGTGATGCAGATAAATTAATTATGGCTCTCTCTAAGCAGTTTACATATGAATAACTTGGTTCATTTGAGCCACAAATTTGATAAAATAAGAACATTGTCACCAATCCCTGGAAGTGCCAAATAGACAATTGAAATTAATTTATTTGATTAACATATATTAAATGTCTTCTTCCTGTCTGAGTTGCAGGTTCTAAAATGCTTTTTATCATTTTAAAAGATACACAAATAACTAACTTAAAATCCGTGATACAGATACTTCTGTGCGTGTGGTGATTTTTTTAGAGATATTTCAGATTTGTAGTAAAGCACTGCTGATGGCAGTTTAGCTTTTCCTCTTATTGACTTGCAAATAATGATTTAACATCAGATTTTTTTTTTCAAACCCCTTACAAGGTTACTGTATATTTTATCCACCTATTAACTTGGATGCTTCATAATCTTATACCGCCTTAAATGGCAATTTTTGTCTAACTGAAATGAGATCAGCTGTTTTCAGTGATTAGAATGTGGAAGAGATTACTAGATTAAAGAGATAAAAATGAGTATACCTTCTGTGCACCCTGAGATTTAAATGCCTATATCGTCAAGGTGGGTAGAATTACCTTGATATTAACATTCTCATCCTTAGTTTCAAATCCTTTTGTACTCTCAACCCTCAGCTCTAGCACCCTGTGTGCTCCTGATGTTAAGCAGTTCACCCCTACTAGCTGATACCTTGTCAACCACATTGTTAGGGTTTTGTTAATGTAACTATTATTTTTAAGAGACTTTGTACATAAATAAAGAAAGGACAGCTGGGACATCAAGACTGAGCATGTAAATAAACTCTTTCCTCAAAGAAAAGCTATGTGTCTTAGATTCTATTTCACTTTCCAGCTTGAAATCTATTAATAGCAGGAGCAGAGAATGATTGTGTAAAGGTAGAGGTTGGAAAATAAGATTCTTTCAGATAGAAGATTTGTAATTGGAGTAACTTTGGAAAGAATGGCAAAAACCAAGTGTAGAATATTGGATCAGAGATAGTAGGAACTGCAGATGCTGGAGAATCCGAGACAACAAGGTGCAGGGCTGGATGAACACAGCAGGCCAAGCAGCATCATAGGAGCAGAGAGGCTGACGTTTCGGGCCTAGACCCTTCATCAGAAAAGGGGGAGGGGAAGGGGGTTTTGAAATAAATAGGGAGAGAGTGGGAGGCGGATAGAAGAGGGATAGAGGAGAGGATAGGTGGAGAGGAAACAAACAGGTCGAAGAGGCGGGGATGGGGCCAGGAAAGGTGAGTGTAGGTAGGGAGTTAGGAAGGGGATAGGTCAGTCCAGGGAGGACGGACAGGTCAAGGGGGCGGGATGAGGTTGGTCGGTAGGAGATGGAGGTGCGGCTTGAGGTGGGAGGAGGGGATAGGTGGGAGGAAGAACAGGTTAGGGAGGCAGGGACGAGTTGGACTGGTTTTGGGATGCGGTGGGGGGAGGGGAGATTTTGAAACTTGTGAAATCCACATTGATACCATTGGGCTGCAGGGTTCCCAAGCGGAATATGAGTTGCTGTTCCTGCAACCTTCGGGTGGCATCGTTGTGGCACTGCAGGAGGCCCAGGATGGACATGTCGTCTGAGGAATGGGAGGGGGAGTTGAAATGGTTCGCGACTGGGAGGTGCAGTTGTTTGTTGCGAACCGAGCGTAAGTGTTCTGCAAAGCGGTCCCCGAGTCTCCGCTTGGTTTCCCCGATGTAGAGGAAGCCACACCGGGTACAGCGGATGCAGTATACCACATTGGCAGATGTGCAGGTGAACATCTGCTTGATGTGGAAAGTCTTCTTGGGGCCTGGGATGGGGGTGAGGGAGGAGGTATGGGGGCAGGTGTAGCACTTCCTGCGGTTGCAGGGAAAAGTGCCGGGTGTGGTGGAGCTGGAGGGGAGTGTGGAGCGGACAAGGGAGTCACGGAGAGAGTTGTCCCTCCGGAAAGCAGATAAAGGTGGGGAGGGAAAGATGTCTTTGGTGGTGGGGTCGGATTGCAGATGGCGGAAGTGTCGGAGGATGATGCGTTGGATCCGGAGGTTGGTGGGGTGGTACGTGAGGACGAGGGGGATTCTTTTTTGGTTTTTATTGCGTGGACGGGGTGTGAGGGATGAGGTGCGGGAGATGTGGGAGACACGGTTGAGGGCGTTCTCGACCACCGAGGAGGGGAAGTTACGGTCCTTGAAAAACGAGGACAACTGAGATGTACGGGAGTGGAATGCCTCATCCTGGGAGCAGATGCGGCGGAGGCGAAGGAATTGGGAATAGGGGATAGCATTTTTGCAGGAAGGTGGGTGGGAGGAGGAGTATTCTAGGTAGCTGTGGGAGTCGGTGGGCTTGAAATGAATATCGGTTTCTAGGTGGTTGCCCGATATGGAGACAGAGAGGTCCAGGAAGGGGAGAGAGGTGTTAGAGATGGTCCAGGTAAACTTAAGGTTGGGGTGGAAGGTGTTAGTGAAGTGTATGAACTGTTCGAGCTCCTCGTGGGAGCACGAGGCGGCACCGATACAGTCATCAATGTAACGGAGGAAGAGGTGGGGTTTAGGGCCGGTGTAGGTACGGAAGAGGGATTGTTCCACGTAACCTACAAAGAGGCAGGCGTAGCTTGGGCCCATGCGGGTACCCATGGCTACCCCCTTTGTCTGTAGGAAGTGGGAGGAATTGAAAGAGAAGTTGTTGAGTGTGAGGACGAGTTCGGCTAAGCGGATGAGGGTGTCAGTGGAGGGGGACTGGTCGGGCCTGCGGGACAGGAAGAAGCGGAGGGCCTTAAGGCCATCTGCATGGGGAATGCAGGTGTAGAGGGACTGGACGTCCATGGTAAAGATGAGGTGTTGGGGACCGGGGAATTGGACGTTCTGGAGGAGGTGGAGGGCGTGGGTGGTGTCACGGACATAGGTAGGGAGTTCCTGGACCAAGTTTCAAAATCTCCCCTCCCCCCACCGCATCCCAAAACCAGTCCAACTCGTCCCTGCCTCCCTAACCTGTTCTTCCTCCCACCTATCCCCTCCTCCCACCTCAAGCCGCACCTCCATCTCCTACCGACCAACCTCATCCCGCCCCCTTGACCTGTCCGTCCTCCCTGGACTGACCTATCCCCTTCCTAACTCCCTACCTACACTCACCTTTCCTGGCCCCATCCCCGCCTCTTCGACCTGTTTGTTTCCTCTCCACCTATCCTCTCCTCTATCCCTCTTCTATCCGCCTCCCACTCTCTCCCTATTTATTTCAAAACCCCCTTCCCCTCCCCCTTTTCTGATGAAGGGTCTAGGCCCGAAACGTCAGCCTCTCTGCTCCTATGATGCTGCTTGGCCTGCTGTGTTCATCCAGCCCTGCACCTTGTTGTGTAGAATATTGGATATGATCTCCCATTGATGTTCTGTGATAGTGACACTTGTAACCAGTGGGCAGCTTAAGTGAACATCTGAACACAGATTACGTCTTTATCAAGAAAAAAAAACTCATACCATGGCCCTGATAATGTTTCTTCTTGCTTAAGGAAGAATTTAGTATAAAAGTATTTTTAGAACTAAAGGCACAACAATTGGAGATGGAGGAAAGTTGAAAATACTGTTAAAATTTGTAGACAAAACTTTAAAGAAAAATGGTCTATTAGGTGCATATGACACATGATCAGACTGATAAATTTAGAAAACTGGATGGTTATTGTATCAAAGAGTAAATAATGGAAATTAACGGACTGCATGCAAGATTGCAAAAGTTCTGTTTGAAGATTCCTAATTCAGTACTTTTTTGACTGAGGTGGATTTTCAGAAAGAAACCTGCTTTTGGAACAGGTGTCAGGGCCTTAAAAAAAACTTGGAAAACACTCATTTCAGCAGCTTTCATTGCATAAATGTGACATTTCGCAGTAACACCAAAAAAGGAGAATTGAACAGTAGCAGCATTGAAGAACCATCAGGATTTGGGCGTGCAAGCATCAATATGGAAAAAGAAGCATAAGTAAAACCAATGTGGATAGAGAAATCTTTGGTAGCTGTAACAGATGGCAGGAGTTGGGAACTGTAACAGAAGAATCAACCCAGGAATCCCTGGGGAATGGTCAACAGTCATTTCAGATACAACTCAAAATATCATTATGTAATGTATTGGCCTAATGGAATAACCATGTTTTCAAAATGATACAAGACTGAAAAGTTCAGAAGAGAATGACGATACGGATCAGGCAGGAATTGTAGTGGTCACAGACAATTCAGCTCAATAATGAGTATTCTACACACAGATTAATTTAATTCGGCTTTGCTAGACAATTGAACACCAACAGTGTGTGGAGTGGCTTCGTTAAAATATTACCTAGGATCTTTAAATAATACGGAGTAAAGTGAAGGAATTTGAGAGTTCTACTTGCTTCAGGTTTGGAG